GTTAGGTAAACTTGGAAAATACGATGGTTGCTTTTGATCAAATATTCGATCGAATTCCATCTGAAGTTGAGTTTCACGTGCGTGAATTTTCGAAGAATTGTTTGAACCGTATAGCCATTCAAGTTCTAGTTGACGTAACTTGGAGCGATTAATTGGAGGAAGTTTACTAATTGACTGAGTATTTGGACGCACTAGAATCAACGGAATAGAAAGTGAAATTCGATCTTCTAAAACGTACTTTGTTCACCAGGGATCAAATCGATTTGTTCAGCCTCATTCTTCTCTTGAGTTCTCCGATTTTCTACACAAAAAAAGAAGTGTAAAAGTTTGTTTCTATAAAAGTAGATCACTTGACATACTCCGATCCAGTTTATGATCACGTGAAAGTCGATAAAAGTCGAGTAAATCATCATCGATCATAAATTCCAATTCCTCATCGTCATTCATTTGTTCTTCTTGTTCTCCGCTTACCTCCATCGTCTGATTTCCTTTGATCCATGTCATACCTGCCTGGTAATTTTTCCAGAAAGTCAAGTCCTGATTTTCCATGAGAATTAAACTGATCTAAAACTACAACACATATGCTCCATCACGTTTATTTCACATCAGTTCGTATATATTATGTACACAAACGAGAAAAAGACAAGTCAGCTATTGATGATCAACTAATACGCGTACAAAATCGAAACAAAACGAGCTCAAACGATAGAAAATAATGATTGTATTTGGTCAATATGCAATTCAGTGAGAAATGTCGCCGAAATTAAACATATCCAGCCGATCAGACTTGTTTTTTGAATGAACTCCTAAAAATAGAATCCATAATAGAAAATCAAGCATAGGTCGGATGGAACAGAAGATCATACCCAAGTTCTATCGAAAAATATCGCGAATAAAAGAAAATCTTGCATGCTTATCGCGCTTAAATACCGCCATAGGTAAAATATCAGAATCGTCAATGGAGAATGGAGCAAAGTTAACTGCAGAGCCTAGATGTTGAAAAAAAATGAACATCAAATGATGAAATGAATTCATTTCTAACTTGCTGTTGAGGTTTGTTTGTATATGAATCAAGTAGATCTTCGTAGAACCGTACAGATCGATCCCAAAACAGGGCAGACAAGGAATATCGTAAGGAGAAAATACTTAATACAAGCACAATTTTGCCTTTAGATTCAGATATAATACTATTCGTTTCTTTTTGTTCATCTTCGAGATTTAAGATCATCAATTCGGATTCTTCGGATCCAATATCTAGTGTCGGACTGGACCGCGTTGATGCTGGTAACGGTTGTCGTGATTTTGATCGAATAACCGGTCGTTGTTTAAAAAAGTAGAGCAAACAACCAACGATAAGACATACGCCACCTAGGACATCACTCAATGCATCGACATAATATCCTATGTCACCATAATAAGACTTATATCGTTGGTTTTTCATGTGTGCACGGAAAACGACACCGTCGAGACAATCGAGAAAACTACGTATTTGAAAGATTACAACACCGATTTGTCGTCGAAATAAAGATTCACTTGAGAAGAATTTGATTGAGATTAATGAAAGAAAGCAGTGAAAAAATGAAACCGCGTTGGCTGAAATCATTGGAAAATAATACGTGAAAAACAGTTTTGATTCGAGACATTCAGCCAATGGTTCGCGGATAAATTGAGTCTAGAATACGAATAACTTGTGTTATAACAAAATTTCTCGCCTGCTGTAAAGATTTGACTTTTCAAAACAATGTCTACCTTGCATATCGATGGTTTAAACGTATGGAATATGATCCCTTCTTTTCTGTTATACTGACAACTAAATACAAGTCAAACAATGGCTTACCGTTTGGCCAACCATGATTTTTTTCACTGGTAGTGAACTGAAGATTTGAATTGAATTCGAATTTTGATTGATAAAATCGGAATGGGTTTTGTTTGCGGTCGTTGCATCGAAATCCAATGGTCCTCTTGATCGTATTTTGACATAAAGTATCAGATCCATAAGTTGAAGATAGATGATAAGTAAGAAGAACAAAGAGTAAACTGGATGTGTTAACAAAAGATGAAATGTTCGGACACAGAAATGTGCATGCTGATGCACAGGTCGAGAAGGACATGGGCCGTTGCTTAACTTACGAATATCCATGATCATTGTGAACAAATAATACTCAACATCGAGTAATGGTGTGCTAAACGAGAAGAGAGAACATGTAACGTGTTTTTAAACATCAGACCATAATCAGCTGTTCTTCTCTTCCTATCGAAAGCGAAGAAATGGGAGGAAAAAGCGCATTGACCAAATGCATATATAAATATGGGGTGATTCTCGCCTGCCTCGATTCGCATACACTCAACTACACTACTGATCGGAGTGAATGAAGATCTGTTATTCTTTTTCTACTTCGTCGTCTTGTTTTTCTTTCTCTCTCCTCGTTCTCCGTCGTTTTTGCTTTATCGATAGGATGAGAAGAATTTTTTCCTCCGGTTAAGTTCCAGACGAACCAGAACAAGAAAAAAAATAGACCCTTCTTCCTTTCGCGATAGATTCTCGTGATGTTCCATGGGAGAAAAAAATACGCATAGCATGTGTGGATTCGATAGCCATTTGCAAACATATAGCTGATAACATTGTAATTGCGTTATTTGCTGATTGAAATTGACGTTTCACAAAGTCAGTTTTGCTGCTTCGAATCATATTGTTTATATTCGAGATTGGAAAAAAGGCACACATTATTAATCATTAGAAAAAAAGGGAGAAAGAAAATTTCAAAATAAATAGAAATGCCGGTATGGTTAGTTGAATATTTTCAGCTTCTATTTGTTCTGAAACTAAGAAGAGAGTGATGACTATTTTAATTTGTATCCATTGTATTATTGGACGGATTTTCCTCATCTTTATAATGTTTAGCCAAGGCTTGCATGAAAACTTGCAGATCGCCTTGATTAACTGCATTGGTTACTTGTTCGGAAAGATTAAGTTGAGAAAGAATAGATTTCAATTCTCCTGAGCGAAAAGCAGTACTAAATAGGAATGAGAAAATGAATTTAGCGATCATTTGTTATCTGTCACATACCTAAACGCATCCGTGAGTTGACGGTATTCTGGCGATTGAATTGATTCTTTCAATTCGTTTTCCGTACCAGGTATTGAATAATCTTCAGGTAGATGAGGACGTATTTTTTCTTGGATATCCTTATTGCTTAACAATGGAATTAGCGTCTGAAGCAATAGTGGAAACTTATGGAAAGAAAAAACTTTATTCATAGACTTACTTCACCATTTGAAGGATAACGAGATGTTTCCGATGATGCCGTTGCACTGTCTTCAGTTGCACTATTATTCAAATTGACAAGAGCATTCGTCAGAGCACTCATTTGAATACCACTACGTTTCGGTTCGTTCGATGAAGTCGAAGGAACTGTTGTAGATGTCGTTACAGCTGGTGTTGAAGATGATGATGAACTGCTGCCAGCTCGACTGCTAGAAGTCGATGGTGTCGCCGGTGTACGTGCTGCAGTCGGTGCCGTATTCGGACGCGAAGTTGCAGCTTGAGGATTTGTACGAGACGATGCAGTTCTTTGTTGAGCGGTACCTCCTTCAAGTCCACCACTACGTTGAAGTCCTTGCATCAAACTGCCAGCACCGGCACCTCCACGTCCAAATGCAGAAAATAGCGAAGCAACATCGTTTGGATTCATACCTACAATCAAGTATTTATATTAAAGCGAACGTAATTAACAAAACTAGATAACGTACCACGCAAAACATTGGATAAATCATTTGGGCCGAGTCCACCGGCGCCACCAGCGCCCGCCATGCGTTCCATAAGAGGCTGCAATGGATGACCACTGCTACTGCTGTCATTATAACCAGGCCCTGGTGGGCGATTTAGCTAATAAATCAAACGATAGCTCATAGTCGAAGCTTTAAAAGTTGTTTACTTACGAAATCGTTTATCTTTTTACAAAATTGTTCGTCTTGATCATCTTTGGGTTCTTGCATCCAAAAGAAGAATTTACGCGAATTTGTTTTCCACTTGAGAATATAAACACGGCCTAAAATCTCAGTGATGTTTCTCTCCATTGCACAACAATAGTAGGGATTATTTGTACCTGTGGTATTTTGTGTAACTTTCTTATATTCGATCTCATCTGGAAAGATAACTAGATCATCTTCTGGTGTGTTACTTGATCGATCCCTCCAACATAAATGCATAAGCATATCATTTCCCTGATATAGATAAACGAGCCCTTTTCGTTTATCAGGATAAACCTACAATACAAAGATGAAAAACATAGACAGAACAGAATTTCTTTCACAGACCATGTTACCACGTAAGTTCATTTTCCCAGCTTTAAATTCGACGAGATTTTTAGCACGAGCTTGAGCGTTGGCCCCACCGAAGAGCGACATTTTATGCTTGAAGTTTCGTAACGGTATTGACAAGATGTGATGTGCGAATGACAAATATAAAAAATGAATCAATCGGTGCGCACATACGTTGATAATAATGACGAATAGAACATCTTGGTTCGATTGGTACGATGTATCGTCAATCTGATTTTAACACATTCGATCGAAAGTTCTCCTGAAGATTATCACACATGAAACAGAAGGATGGGCTTTATTTGAAATACTAGCTGTGTGCAAGAACTTAATCATTAAATCATTGAAAAGGGCACAGTGGTGCGTGGCGCCCTCTCTCACCCACATACGCTTAAGAACTCACTACGTACCTCTAAGCCAAAGTTTGCGTGATTTGAAACCAATACATCCATTTAACACATTTCCGCGATAGTATGTAGCTTAAGAATCTGATATGAGACTTTCCATTTCTATTGAATTACTATGCAACATCGAATACAAAAAATTCATTACATATTTTCAACTGATATAGTACACGAACATAAAGATACACAAAAAGAAACGAAGTGTTATATCTGATTTACACGAAAATTTCACGAGATTTCCATGTAGAAGACACAAACGTAAAGATATCACAGAATTAATCGCTATCATCATCATCATCATCATCGTTATCATTGGGCATATGTACACGTGCTTTCTTTTTGGCTGGACGTGGGTTGTGGATGGGTGTGCCTTGTACGAATTCAGCAGCCTCTTCTTTTAATAAATCAATCTCACTTTCATCGGTAGAGACATCCTCGTCATCACGATCTGAATGTCGAGCTTTTCTATGTGGTTTCCACTCTTTGTCAGGAGCGCCCTGAGAATCACCTACAATATACAAAACTAAATGCAAAGACTGCAAAACTATTGAACATTTACCTGCTCGATCAACCAGCGCACTATCTTCCAGATCTTCATCGTCGATAAAACTATCATTATAATCATATTCATTGGGTAATCCGTCGTCATCATCTTCATCGTCATCGTCGTCCTTAGCTGAAAATTCATGAAATACAGTCGATCGATATGCTGTTTTTATTTTACCTTTTCGTTTCGGTGCACGTTGATTAGAATTAGTCACAGATGATCGCTTTTTCGTATGACTATATTCATTAAAATGATCAGGATTTTTTCGATAGCAATCGCTTCCGTAGGGACATTCTGGTTTTGTCTCGTCAGTATCATTTTCTTTGTTATTCCAGTCAGGATCACCAGGATGAATGGCTTCCTTCCGATGGGCTGGATTTTTTCTATAACAAAACTTTCCATACGGACATCGTTCTCGTTTGCCAAGCTTAGTCGCTACCGCGGCTGTTTGACCTATGGTACATCACGATAAGAACACAAAGGAGATCTAGGAAACAGGCTCAGTTACTTGAGGGTGTGTTATCTGACGGTTTCTCGTCGTTATCCTCATCATCATCGTCATACACAACTCCTTCCGCTTTCTTTCGTCCAATATCTGAAATAAAATGTTAGTTTACACTCAGTTCAGCAAGGCTACATACACGTTCGATATTTCGAGGGTGACGGTGTGGTTGCTGTAGATGTCGGCGTCTTTGTATTTTTACCTGACCCTCTAGCATTCTTTCGTTCAGGTGTTGTACCATTGGTCATCCATGCGGGCAATGCACGAGTTGTGTGCAGAATAATTCCACCTTCAGGTTCGACGCTTGGATCTTTGACAGGAGATTTTTCTTTGGGATTGCTTTTCGGCGGAGAAGGCTCTTTCTCTTGAGCTGGTGATTTAGGTGTTACCGAGGGTTCGTTAACTTGCTCTTGCTCGTTTGATTTGATTGAAATGCGATAGAAGTATTCATTAGGCAATAGGCCAATTTCATCATTATCATTCAATTCGAACTCTTGATCTTTTGTTAATGTAATTAATTGATTAGATTTCGTTCTATAGAATGTCGGATTATGATGGATCGGTTTTATCCAAAGGGTTCCATCGGATTTCACGTATAATTCCGCGTGATTGCGAGAGATTTTTTTATCCAAACAACCGATATTGGGTGTACGACCAATCGTTGTTACAGATGTACCATCAAGCAGAAGCCGATTTCCTTTTTCTAACGGTATCAATTCGATAGTCGACATTGCTATTAGTTGAATCTATTCCAATTTCTTTCGACTTTATATGTCATTGCCAAACAACTATGCAAGATCATTCACTGTTTAGTAAGTTATCAAATGAAAATAAGAGAGAAACGAGTGCATTCAGATGTCGCTGATGATGAAATTTCACCTACCCAATGAAATTACATAATATTTCAAATAGAAAAACACACAAGAAAACGTGCGTAGTATTATAGTTGCCATAAACTAAACCATGACGGAACGTAAACGCTTGTCAGATACGGATGAGCCTTCAGCGAACAATACAACTAAAAAGATTAAACTTATTCAAACCACTTTACCAGTTGGAACATCAAAACGTCCTATATGTAAATATGGTGCGAACTGTTATCGAAAGCATCCTGATCATTTACGAGATTATCAACATCCAAAAACTGACCAAAAGGAAGAAGAGCAAGGGGACGACGATGAAGATTTCTCGACAACATCTGTTTCGGAACTATCAACATTGACAAAGGAAGCATCACCAGCAAAACAAATAACAGCATCGAGCAATTCAACAATAAGTCTGATGGAATTAGCGGAGTTAAGTGGAGAGAAATTACTCAGACATCTTTACCAAATGAAATTTCCAAGTGATCTTCACGAGTTTTGGAGTTTCTGTTTGGATCTCAAGAAAACCGATACTCGGGAGGTATTGACAAATCTTCTCAACTTAGAACTAGTCGGTCCATTTGAAATTCTCGATGGTGCTTTAAAAACGTGCAGTACCTTACCTAATATTCATTTACACTATCGGTATTATTATGACACACCAGAGTTTATGACTGTTATTCGAACTTTGGATAAAAAAAGTCAATTTCATATTGGTTATTATCGGTTAGCAGCTCTCTCTTTCTCTGTCATTTCACTGTCAGATAACATATTGTTTTTATCTAGAGATTCACCTGATGAACTACCAGCCTTTTTAGCTTCGAATGATTCGAGTGTCAACAATCATTTTAAAATCTGCGGTGATAACATATTTGCAGCAGTTCAGTGAGTCATCAATCAAACGTGATTGAAATTACCGTCACATTTTCCCCATTTCAGTTCATATGCTCGCCACCATCTCAAATCAAGTGACAAATCTGACTTGAAAACCTTCGTTTCTGACTTGGAAAGCTACGCAAAAAAGCACAAGTTTTCTTTGGATGAAACCACACCAAAAATAACTGCTCGAAAGAAAAAAGTCAATTGTACATTGCTGAACTCGTTGGGCATGGTCGTGCCGTGTGAAAACGATATCGGTTATCGTCCTGTTCCATTTACTAAAGGTAACAAACATCCCACACCGCTCTACTTTTCCAATCGTCTCTCTGTCTGTTAATATTAGATCAATTCAAGAAAGTTTGTGATAAATTTTGTAATGGCACATCGGAAGATCAACATCAAAAAGCTGAAGATGACTTACAACATGTAATCACATGTATACAATTCGCTAACGACGAATGTGACTATGGTGAAGGTTTAGAATTTGGCTTGAATCTCTTCTTATACGGCTCATCCAAACTTCATTCACGTATTCTGACACTTTTACCACTGGCATATAAACTACTTCACCGGGATCTCTATGGACAAATTATAACAGATCATCTCTCTTCAGGTCGTTCGAATTTAATTGAAGATTTAAATGAAATCACAAAAAACAGCTAATTTTCAATCGATAAATTTTTGTACATAGCTATAATACAATCATTGTCCTGTAAAATTCTTTTGTGTTTATTGTAACATAGTTGAGATTGATAGGGACGAGACACATAGGATAATTGAAGATAAAGATCAGCTTGAAGACGATGAAGATGTATATGATCGATATCATTCTTCCCTTGAATAAGATTTTCATCAAAACAATGAATAAATTTCCAACAACGATCAGCTTGATCTTCTTCTAATCGTCGAACATAACTTTGGACTGAACGATCGAAACACTCACCCGTTTCAATCGGCATACTTTGATGATGATGAACAAGACGCTCAATAGATCTTGTATGATGAGTAATCACTTCTTGAATAGAACATTTTCCTAATATCAGATCTGTTTCAAACTTTTCATACATACTTGGAATTACTGTCCAAAGCAATTCTAACTGTTCTAAAGTTAATTTCGGCTGATCGAGATGTTCAATCGCTTGGCAAATATATTGACATGATTCATTTAGACGATTACTTTGAAAAGCCATATCAGCTTGCCAAAAATATTCCTCGACAATATTCATAACTACATCTATAGAACGATCTCGACTATCTAAATATAAAGCAAAACAAGCCACGTGTATTGGATATTTTTTTCCTAGACTATTTTTATTCGAATAGGACAGAACGACGATACACGTTGAACTTTAAGTTTTCGTTATTCTTTTTCTCTTTTCTCTCGAATTCTCCTTCTGTCTGTCGACGTTGTATCCAGAGAATAACAATATATCAGGTCCATCGAAACAAGTCAGTTTTGGTTCGTAGTTTAATGAAAGATAGAAAAGGAAAAACATAAAGAATGATGTCGACGTCGATCGACCCTCAGAATAATAGTCATAGCAGTAATGGACGACCGTTGAGAATTGTTTCAACAAATCGACTCTTTACCAAAGTCAGAACTGAACAACCGTCTGAAGCAGGTAGATGCAAACTCGAACTTCGCACTTGTGAAATTTATCTATTTTCATAGTTTTACCTTCAATAATGGACACGACAAGTTTATTTTCTGATGATCCTCACCATCCTCTTGATGTTTTCCCGAAAGATGAATCATTGCTTGATGAAACAACAATGATAACGACATCGTCTTCATCACCGTCATTTGCTGACTTTCATCGAAATTTATCTACATCAACATCCGCTCTATCATCACCGACATCGTTTTCGCCACTACAACACGATCATAGCTATGGTGTATCGACAAATTCATCCTCTCTTCTACCATCACCGTCATCACCTGACTTAACTATTCACAATACGACGAATGCTAATTCACCTGTTGTCGTCACATGGCCACAGATAAATTGCCGAGCTTTACGTCCGGATGATTATCACATGTTATTGGAACTATTATCATCAAATACGAATGCAGATTCGCCACCGATTTTCTTTGGCTCAGCATTGATTGACCCATCGACTCCAACACCTTATTCAGATGCAACACGAACACAACCGAAGAAACGTGTTCGTCCTGGCCATGTCAAACGGCCAATGAATGCATTCATGGTTTTCTCACAGATTGAGCGTCGAAAAATGGTTCAACTTGCACCACATTTGCCTAATGCTGATATTAGCAAGTAAATCAAATCTTGTCATTCACATTCGAGTTTGGATGAACCATACGCACATATTGTAGATGTTGTGGAGCCAAATGGAAACGAATGTCGCTACGCGAACGACAACCATACATGGAGGAATCGGAACGATTGAAACATCTGCATGCACGGCAATATCCAACGTATAAAGTAATATTTGAATTCCAGCAAATTATTTTTTTTAACATAAACCATTTTTGATTAGTATCAACCACGAAAACGAAATAAGACCAGTCAATCAACCAATTCAATCTCTCACCTACATCCAGCTGCAGCTTCATCTTCATCGTCGCCCCCGCCGCCAAGTATAATGCCTACTATTCCACCTCAACTGCCAGCTGTTCCGAAAGAGCAACCTCAAACTCCACCACCCTCACTCCCTCAACCATCATCGTCATCCTCCGGCATTTCCTCGTCGTCATCATCATCATCATTGCCCTCAAACTCAAATGATCCCATCTCATTATTAGTTGCAACATTGTTCGATCAAAAATTGGCAATGTTCGCCAGTAATTTTCAGCAATTTAATATCGACCATCTTCAATACCATTTCACACCGCCGAACACTCAATTATATCCAGCACCAGCGCCCATGCCTTTCGATCCCGTGGCTTTTCTCGCTAAACAACAACAACACCGACTGGCTTAATAATCACTATCAATTCGACATTTCCCAGCCATATAAATATATATATATATAGTAGATACGCTAAATCCAGATATAGAGTGTGATAGATAGACAACCTGATCAAAAAATTTTTATTTTCATTTTTCACGTTTTATTTTATTTTTGTGTGTGTGTGTTGCTTGATTTCTTTTTTTCTTCTCGTTATGTTCAAGATCTTGCTCAACAGTACTTTCTCTTTTGTTTGTTTTTGTTTGTTTGTTTTGCGCTATTTAGTAGCTCGAAGATGCATATGGAGCCGTATGAAAAGAAAAAAGATTTCTCATTTTTAAAAGTACAATATAGAAAGCATTTCAAAACGAAAAGAATTTCTTCTCGCTACATTCAATGCTTTCTAAACAAAGGCAACAGGTTTATTTTCAACTTTTTGTTTTGATGAACACATCTTCAACGTTCATAATCGATGCAGTTGACATTGGATGTTGAGTTTCAAACAAAATACACCTAAATATTTAACACTCTTTCTAATTTACCATATCAAAATGGTTTAAATTGGTGTGAGAAACGATAAACAACAGCATATGAACGAAACAAACGAAGTAAACGAATTTGTCTTTCCTCTACGATTTCTAGTAGAGAGAAGAGAAATAACGCCACTCGACGACTGCTTTTCATACGTTCAAAAGAAGAAAACAAAAACACGTGCTGTTATTATATAGACATATCTATTCTCTCCTTGAATTCGTCGCTAGCCACTCCATTCTCTCTCTTCGCCTCCCTATCATATCCACTTTCATTTCCATCTTTTTATCGTATATACACACATACACACCCTGAATCTAATCCACAATCATGTTTATTTCGAAAACAATTTCAAATCCGTCAAAAAAACTAAATATCAATATACCTTCTCATTCCAAACAAACAACCTGTAAACTATTCGTGGGTAATCTGGCTACCCACACAACAAGTACACATCTACAGTCGATCTTTCATACCTATGGACAAATCATCGAATGTGTGAAAGTACGCGAAAGATACGGTTTCGTTCGCTTTTCTACTAACGAAGAAGCCCAACAAGCATTGAATGCTTGCAATGGAATACAATTAAATGGTTATCCAATGATTGTCGAATATGCCCAAAATGAAATTCTCATCAGTCCGAAATCGCCACGGAATTCTTGTCGATATCAGTCAAAGAAGTTACCACCACCAGTTCCTGTGAATCAGAATGATGACATGCCTTACTTAACAGTTGAGACGCACAAATATACGTCTTCAACTTTAAATCCTGATGCGTCATCATTCACGTTGGCTTGTTCAACCAGCGATTATTGTTCACAATCGGATCGACCATCAAGTCGTTCATCCTCCGAACGATCGAACTGTCTTTCACCGTCGATTCTTTCTGCCACATTGCCCGTCTCATGTTCAGACGACGATGAAGACGATGAACAAAACTATCGCAAAACTCTTCATGATAAACGACAATCTTTGAACGTCTTTATCGGTGATCGTATATTGAAATTATATGGCCCGAATATGGATGTGAATAATAATCAAACATCCATACCGTTTGACAATCGGGATATCGATCCACGTGACCCAATCTTTATCTGGAATTTCGCCTTTTATCCCGATGTGTCTATTAGTCCATTCGTTAAACGTTCGGATATCAAAACTTTACTTGAACGTCGTGTTTCACTCTACTCTCAATAATCATTCTTTATTAGCGAAACTGCTGGTCAGTATAGCCAATTAACTCTGTTACACTGCGGTTGTGTGTCTTTATATTTATTAATAATAATGTTAATCATTCCATTTGTCTTTCTAATCATGTTGTGTGTAATACAAATATAATATGTCCTTCTACTTTATTTTTCTTTTCAAATTTCTTTATATATCTATGTATATGCGTGTATGTGTGTCTGTGTGAGTGAGTGTGCAGTTCCAATGTGTCCTGCACTGCTATATATTTTCTTCTCAATATATGTTGAGTTTGATACTATGTTATCCGCCGCCGTCCTTTCTCTTTCTGTTAAATTATCTAGTAGAATTCCCTTCTCTTTCGTAACCAAAACTGTTTACAAAAAAACGCTTCAAAATCTTCTTCTTCTTCTCTCTCTCTCTCATCTTCGACCACTTCATTTTTTTTTCTTCTTTTATATATACATTCGTCTACTTAGTAATTCTAATCATTGTCGGTGTCTATGTGTGCGTCGGTGACGATGTATATTAAGAAAACTATATTAAGAATATATACGGAATGTTCTTTTCATAGATGGAAATGGTATCTACTGTTTTCTTTTCATACTACGATGATTCGAAAGACTTTTGGCTGAATCTTACAGAGAACGTAGCGAAGTGTTTATCCTATTCGACTTTATTTTTATGAGCGTATCGTGCATACATAACATTTGATTATAGATGATTGATGACTAGATTTTTAACTTTTCACCTGTTGTCATACTATTAGAATGACATATAACAAATGGTTACTTTATGTAATCTTCACTATTTCGTATGTCATTTATCAAATCTAATGAGGAATTGTTCTTTTTTTGTTATTGGATCTATGTGAATGTTCACCGCTCGATCAGTTCACAAGGTAAGATATATTTTCGATGCTTTGTTTTTCGTTGAATGAATATCCGCCCGTCTTTATCACGATCATCCATTTCCCATCAATGTGAAAGACGAATGGAGGTTTGCTTTTTGACTGATTTGATTGAATGAAGTTTGCATTAACTTGACAAGTAAACGAGCAAGACGAGACATAACGGGAGAGAGAGAGAGGGAAAAAACGAGAGAACGAGAAATCGCAGCGCGATCTGTCAACATCAATCAAATCCTGTTGTCATATATTTGGATTTGTATAACGTCGACAGACGAACAAAACTCGAAATTCACTAGACAGTTCGATCATTTACAAGCATCGAGAAGGGAGAATAGATCTAAAACCTTTGACATTTATCGTTATGTCTGACACTGGGAAAATATTCAACTTATTGTGATCTATCTTCTTCGTGTTTTTTCTTTTTGTTCATTCTTCTCACTAGTGTCAACTGAGCAGTCGAACGATCACACTTTAATGTTTGTGAGCATGTTATGTCTGATTTATTGCATCTGAATTGTAATGATGGCTCATAAATCAAGAAGAAGAGAAAAACTTCTCTTCATTTCTCGTTCAATCTTATTTATGTTCCGTCTTCTCTTGCGCTTTTTCTTTCTCTCTCTCATTCTTTCTCCTTTTGGAAAAATCATCTTTCACATTGTCATCAAGCGTTGCCGTTTGAATAACAACACTTCAATTCGAATGTTTATTCCACGACATCTCATTCATCAAATCTCTTTCTCTATATACACGTACCCACGTACACTAGTCACATCTACTTGCATATTCGTTCGATTTGGTAATCTGATGAGAGACGCAACTAGAGAAAATTGAGATAAGGTCTTCTCTCATCGACAAGTTCGAAGTGCCGCAAGATCTTCGAATAATACGTTTTGAATGAGTTTCATTTCATCGAAAGTCGATAGGCGACCTAGAATGTCATCAAATGATCAATCTTATACATCGTTTAAATCTGCATTTTCATCATTTCATATCCAGTTTTCTCTCCGCGTCCTAATCATATCGATGATAGAACTTCTATTCTCAGCAAATCTGACTGTTCGATAGTTTAAGAAAGATAGATGATGATCATCGTTGTCATCTTCTATTGTTACTTGTCATTTAGATGAATGACGGGTATATATATATATATATGCATTGCGCGACAAATCGAGCTCGTTTATCTTCATCAACATTTAGATCAAAACAGGCAGCCAACCTGTCAGCATCAACAGTCGTTGTCGGATCGTAATACTTTCATATACTAATGAGATTGCTCGCTGCCAGTCAGAAATTTTATAGCTACATACCACGCGTCGTCGAATCAATCCATCAAACAATCACCTCTTTTATATTTAGTCGTTCTATCTTACAAACTTTGTTCGCTCCAGGAACATTCCTTGCTTATCATACATTAGAACTTTCACGTTGGACCACTTGCAATTTTCATGTACATTTTCAACATCACACAACTATTTTTTAATGATTGACATTTGATTGACAGTCGAAGTTAATCAATATGACGTATTCGTTCGTTAGATTCTGCTAGTTCACTCGCACATACACGCAGATCTATCATAAACTTTTAAGATTGATAGTTACTCCAATGCATACATAGATGTATATATATATTTTTCTTTCACATCACATTAAATATAATATATAGATTTGTCTATTCCTATCAATCAAATCTATATACATATATGTATAAGGCGGTAAGCATTTCTTTTGTTCTTGCGCTCTCTGACATTAACTCATCCATCACTCATTCACACGAATGATTTGTAAAAAAAAGGAAAAAGAAAAGAAAAGCCTCCATCTTTTTTGCTATTCACTTCGCGTTTGTTATAGAATGACGGACAACAGCAGTGCACCTGTTGATTTACGCATCAAGCGTAAACGCATCGATGCTAATGAGGACAAATTACTAACAAAGAAGAAACCTCGTCATAATGATAATGAATTTCCATTAGATTTAACCGTCAAGCCGTCTCATTCTGCTGCACAACCGAACCCATCGACATTTTCACTCTATAATCCACCTAATGTATTATTCAATTCGTCTGTTCTACTCTACGACCTATTTTTAGCAAATCTCAATGCTTATTGCCAACAACACGCAAAAGCTGAACCATCATCGATACCACCACCCTCAATACTATCCAAAACTAACGCCAAACACCAGCAACACACAAGTTTGTCTGCTCGTCTGTTCAGAGAGAACTCTACTGCGAGCAAACACGAATCGTACGCTTGTTCATGCGGTGAACGATATTCAAACGTAGCCCAACTTGTCAGTCATCTGAAGATTACGAATCATCATGCGCAATTATCTTCTACACATGATGAAGTGGCCAAACTTGTACGTGGACAAGATATCTGGTTATCTCGCGATACGAACCCTGCTAATCAAATTTTAAAGTGTCTTCGCTGTTCACTGTCATTCGAAACTCTCCCCGATCTCACGGCGCATATGATGAAAACGAATCATTTTACTCAACTTCTTCCGTCGTCATCGACTTCGTACTCGCATTCGCCTCCAAAACAGCAGCACCAACAGCAACATTCACCGACAAAGTACAGTTCACGTTCGACATGTCTCGTTTGTTCACAACAGTTTGCTCGTGAGGTCGATCTCGTCGATCATCTGCAGCGTCTACACCAGATACGCTTTAACTGTACAACATGCGGAATGTACTTCGAAAATGAAAATCTTTACAAAGAACATCTGTTAAAAGAAATGCATCATCGAAACGGTAAATCCAATCGAAATCGAGATTATTTCATTCAACAATGTCGAACGTTACAGAAACGTTCACTATGCGAAATAAAGTAAGTTGAAAGCAATTGAGGTATCTCAACTAGATTTGGATTTAGATCCGAACGGCCAAAGTCTCGTTCATCAATCGACCGAGAAGTTGAACGTCTAACATCGGATTTAGTCGATCGTATTGCAGCGGCAGATGAACTCCCATCGTCATCATCATCATCATCATCGACTGGAAATGCTCTGTCACTTTTACAAAATTTCGTGATTAAACAAACGCCGTCGATCGCGACATTCAGCCCACGCACACGAACTGATTTAAATAATAACTGTGACGATGAAAATAGTAATCAGAGTATCGCCAATTCATCGGTGTCAAATGAAATCAATGTGAAGGAGGATCCATTAGCATCATTGGAAAAGATGTTGGCGTATTCAACGAATTCAATCGAATTACCTTCATCATCAATCAACAATAATGGAACGAAAAAAAGAAAATTTGATAAATATCGATTATTTGCAGAGAAAATGCTTCGATCAACTTTATCCTAGATCTTCTAGTTTTGTTTTGTGTTTTATTGCCTTATATAAATCAATTATCTTGTCTGCTATGCATATCTGATCAATCAATCTCGAATTTGAACCATTGCTAGTGCCTGTTTTGGAAATTAATCCTTTAGAATTGATAAAAATTCAGTCTATCATGATTCTCGTCGTACATGCCAGGTTTTAGTATTAAGAGAATAACGACACGTTGACTTTCTTTACATAATTTAGTTATGGTTGAGGGGCAAGTGGCTCTGTTTTTAAAAAGCAAACTAAATGTTATATAAATATCAAAAAATTAATTTCATTATTTAAGCATAGACAACTTCGAACTTTCCCAATGAACGATTTTTATCATCGAGCGCTTTTTTGAATGTTGCGACACTGACTTGTCCGTACTGATTCGTAGCAGCTGCAGTTGTCCAAGCGTATACGAAATCTTCGCCGGACACATAGACGTTGGCATTAGCAAATAAATCCCGGATTTCTTCCATAGTTCTTGGAATTAATAAATCATCTTCTGTTAAACCACGGTCACTCCAAACCGACGGTGATAACAGAGCACCGACGATTGTATTCGCTCCAATGGGTGCTCGATTTCTAAGGCTTGACGTCCCCATTACATATTGATCGTTGACTGGAAGTGACGGTAAACCATATTGACGTTTAACCACAGGTTCGAGACGGAAAGGTGCTTCGTTGATTTTATCGTAACTTGTCTTCCAACCATCGGGTACCATTTCGTCAATTTGTGAAACGAGCTTTCGTGGATAATATTTTCCATCTGAACCCTCAACAAGATCAGCGACGTTTAGAATCGGTCGACCTTGATTATCTTTGATTGTACCAATAAAATTTGTTGTGTTGTTTCTCTTCTTCTCTTCGTTGATGAATTGTTCAAGACCACTAGCGTGTCCTGTGCGATAGCAGAGAAAGTTACTAAATTCAAGAAAATTCAATCGACCATCACGATCCTGATCACATTGTTGCATGAGAGCGTCGATGACTCCATCGGAAACTCGAAGATTAAAATTTCTTCCGATTGTATTGGTTAACTCTTGAACTGAAATAAGACCGTCTTGATTCGTATCATAATATTGAAACGCTTGTAACTGAGTTTTGAATGTTTGCATATGAAGTGAACATAACTGAGTGCGTAATTTTGATATCGCAGCTTGAGATTTTTGATCGAATGCAGCTGGAACATTCGTACGTTGATGAATTATTTCACCAGCTGATAGACGATCCGATGTGGACGTTAAACCGAAACGATGATCGATCGGTAAACCAGTCTCGGCAAGAAAACGACGCGTACGTATGACTGCATTATCACTACGAGATTCATCGAATTCATTAACAATATCCGAAACAACTGGTGTCGTATGATGCGAACGATTCCATATTAATGCTTCACGTGCATGTCGACCATCAGCATAGACTGGTGTCGGAACACCGTGGGTCTGTATACGAATCAATTCACTATTTTGATAATTACGATCAACTTGTTCACCTGGTTCGTAATCTTTGTGACTGAAGACGTACCTGAAAAATAACAAGGAATGAAATTGAAGATGTTTTTAATAGTATAGCTTACATGCTTCGCGGTTGTTCGTAATCGAATTCGATTTCTGCATGGGATTTCGGTGGATTGACAATATCACCTGCTCTCTCACTCGACGCTGTCGGCATTCCAAATGTCGTTTTATATCGATCGACAGTTGATGGCAGCAATTTTTCTTGCTTCAGTCTTTGTCTATTTCTTTCATAGACAAGTTCATTTAGATTAAACAAGCGATTTTCGAAATTTGTGATTGGTTTTGGGTTGATGATTTCACCGTTTTTCTCGTTACCGATGTTACCGACATCGCCGTGTGTTTTCTCGCGATGTGTTGGATCATAGGCACGTCCAGGGTGCACGCGGGGTTGTGCGACATTGGGTGATGTGTAATTTCGATAGCGCTGTACAACTTCCGGGGTAGAGGATTCAACTGGTTTGTCCGTTAAAACTTCCCAAAGTTGATCATGTGTTAAAGCTTGTTTTACTGTAGCTGCCATTGACAAAAAAAAAGAAATGGTGTGTTATGTTTGTTGCTTGTAACTTCTCTCGACAATCTGTGTTTGTTCGGATGCCAAGCAACGATAAACGAACGAACGAACGAAGAACAGCTTTGTCTTTTTTTCCTTTTTTCTTTCTTTTTTGTATTCTCAATCAGTAGGATACTTGTAAAGTTGAGATTTTGTTCTTTGTTTTCAATACGCGTAACTATAATTATTGAAACATTTCATTTATTCCTTGTTTTTCAACTTGTGTCGATTTCATATAAGTCAGAATAACAAACAAAGTCAGAATGATTGATTGCTCATTCTGTCAATCATCGTTACACAGTTGTTTAGAAACGCACAAGTTTGAACAAAGAAAAGAGAAAAATCAAAATGTAGATATGCGGACAAACTTTATTCAGTTGCAGATCTTTTCCCAAGTCACATCTGAAAAGATAAAGAATTATTGCTCTCTCTCTTTCATATGTCGAACAACAAGCGCTATATCCTTAAAGAAACATCTTCATTCTCCCACACGAGAAAATACGATCCCGAACCGTCCATTAGTAGTACTTATTCTATTACGTATTTTGCCATAATCGAGTCAAATCTGCCAACCTTGAAGGACAGTAGTCGCTGTAGTAGAGATATATTCAAATGAACAGATCAATATAACAACACAATTTATGACGAAAACCAATGTTACTGATTGGACAACTGTTTAGTGGAGTTTTAATCCACATGAAATCGTATCCATACACGTTCCGTTCGACACTTCCTCAATCACAAATGAGCTAATCAATATAGAACAGGGATAAAAGTCTTATGTAGGCAAACTCTCATATTTAGACAGTGTTGTATATTAAAGAATAAGCTCAATATTGTAGAATAAAGATGATATACATCTGTGAGGATAGTGATAACGCCTGTCAACATATATTAGAATAAGTTTGATGATTTATACGATGTAAAAAGTTTAGGAAAATTGACGTCGTCTTCGCATGTCTTTTGAAATGAGATCAAAGATATCAGTTTGCATTCTAAAATTTCTACGTGGGAAAGAATTAGCATGAGCAGTTGTGCAAATTGCCTAATAAATGTTGATTGACCATCCACGCCGACGTCGCCACGTTTGATGGTCGCAGTCATGCTTTGTCGCCATGTTTTTCTCTGACTGAATCTGTTTGATCGTTTACTTCCTTTCTTCGATAAACAATAACAATCCATCTGTTCAAATTTGTTCGTTTACAAATAGAACCTTTCTATCAGCCGTTGATCGGATCTATTTTCTGTCTAAACGGACAACTTATACATCAAATACTCTTCTCTTATATCCATTGTAACATCGACTCAACAATATATTGCTTGATTACGTAAAAAAAGATCCATTTTCTTTCATTGCATTACAATGACTGTATAGCGCACGGCATACCCCCCAAAGGCTAATAATGTCATTGTGGCGGATAACAATCGATTGTTGAAGCGCACACGGACATAGTTTCTTGGTCGAGTTCCAAGCAGAAATATGAANAATAATTTCGATAATTTCTGACGTAATCGTTATGATTTGTTTTTCATTTATTATTTAGATCGACTATCGTCACTGTTAGTCTGTTCCTCGATGCATTTCAACGCATTGCTGATCTAGCGACAAATACTAAAGGAGCAACGCGCGATATTGGTACAGCTTTAACACGATTAATTCTACGTCATAAATCGATCGAACAAAAGTTAAAGTATTTCACCAACGCTCTAGTTGAATCATTTGTTCAGCCATTGAGTGAATGCGTAGAAGACTGGAAAAAATCAGCAAATAATCTGGACAAAGATCATGCTAAAGGTCTTAAAGGTAATCAGTCGACGTTCTTTTTCCTCTTTGATTGCATACGGACAGTTTGTTTCGATGTAGATTATAAAAAACTACGTAATGAACTACGAAAGAAAGCATCCGAAACTGTTAAATTACAGAAAAAATGTCGAAAATGTAAGTTATATAATCGAATCTCTGCAATGTTTTCTTCTCATTATTATGACTATTGTTATTCTAGTGCCAAAACATGATGCCTTACATAATAAATTGAATTCGGCTATACAAGAAGTGTCGAATTATTATGGAATGTTAGAAGAACGTGAGAAACAAGCACTTCGGTCTGCAATGATCGAAGAGCGGAGTCATTTTTGTACATTATTTACTCTTTTAAAACCTGTTATGGTATGATTTGAAATACAGTCGATTTCCATAAATTGAATCTATTGACTTTCATCTTTTCATAGGACCTTGAAATTTCAATGGCCTCGGAAATGAGTCACATCGAAGATCTTGTTCAGTGTTTGAGTAAACATACAGCAGATCCTCAATGTCTACCAACAGCCAGCGAACAAGTTATTAAAGATGTGAAAGGTATTGATTATAGTACGATCGTGGCATTCAAGGTAAGCCATGAGTTGTGAATAGACGAAATAATCCATGTTGTTATTTAGACTCCACCTTCGTCGCCTAGTTCTTTGAGCTCACGGAAATCGAGTGTTTGTTCGATAAATAGTATCAATAGTTCGTCGTCGAATTCATTGAATCATGCACATAGTCCAAATCATAAACAAGGTCAACAGCCGCAATCACAAATATCGATACCAATTCAACACCAATTCTATCATACAAATGGTAATCGATCCTCGTCAATACCGGTATGAATTAAAGAAATACTTGTTATGTTTATCAAACACATATATTTTTATTTAGTCAAATGTAGCCGTCAGTCGAATATCGAGTGTCTCCTCTCAAGATTCAGGTTTTATGTCTCAAGAACAGTTCTTTGCTCGTCCACCATCACCTTTGGAAGAATCAGAAGTAAACCCACTTGTTTTCTTCATTTAAACTAAAAATCGCTTAAAAAATTTAGCGTGAAATCGATGGAAGTACCAGCCCGCTATTGGTCGTCTCGTCTACGTTGAATGCTTGGGCGAAACGACCCGAAATTCCAACAAATGGCAAACATCCTGCAACAGTGACTGGCGCACCAGAACCCATTAAAAATTGTCGGCCAGCTATTACGGCTCATACATTCGATCCTCCGCCGCCCAGTCTATTCGAAAAACCGAACTGGCAGATCTACGAAGAAACTCATTCACGTCTAACGACGGTGCGTATTTTCGAATTTTTTTCCGTCGTGCACATGTTTATCTTTGAAAATCGATTAGATTTCGGACGATAGCACGCTGTCTCGTCAACATTCGGTGCCATCACGTCGTTGTCGAATACGAGATCTCAGTCTCGAACGAACATCAACTAATCATCTGACTAATGGTCGAGTCAAACCTACCCAACCACCAATGGTTCCACAAGACTATTACGGTACAATTAGTAATCGTCCTAATTTAGGTATGAAATATGATTATCAATCTTGTGTGAAATGGAGCCCTTTCCGTTCGATAAAGAACAAAAAGAAATGATTGCTTTCGTTGATGTATGTAACTAAAGATATTAATTGCTCGTTCATTGAACAGTCAAGGTTAACTGACATATCATATTATATTTTATCATCGTTGTTTCTTGCTCGAACTTTACCGTAATCGTAGTAGAGGACCTTGGTTCTAAATTGATACTTAGCAGAAGAGAGACTGTTTTTCTTTTTAGACTAGAAACTTGCATTCATCAGGGTCATAATAAAACATGTCAGAGAAAATTAATAGCACCTCTCGTTCGGATGAGATTATTCTGGTTCAATGTAAAAAGAGAAAACGACTCTATCAATAGAATTCTCTGTGGAATAAAGCAAAAGTATAAGGTACAATGCCGCTACTTTCATAGTTAATGAGAACATTTCAATGAAATATCTTCAGGTTTATCAGATTTCGCGATAAGAAAATGTTGCATGCGTTCATGTAGATAGCATCAGTGAGACATTTATCGAATGACATATTATGTTATTGTTTGTACTTTTGATAGACGATAACAATCAACGTCTTCGCAACGGATCGATACCATCAGAAAACATGGTAGGAGAAAGATTTGTATGATTTGAAATCGAATTTGAGAAAATCTTTGTTTCTAGCCATCCGATCCTCGTGCAATTGTATGGCGTGATCGTCCACGTCAAAACGGAAATCATTACGGCAGACCCTCGTTGGAATCTGCTGATGAAACATTGGACGAAAGTAAGATTTTTCTTCGACTTCAAAACTTAACTTTCCTCTCTTCATCCTAGTGTATGAATATTTAACGAAAAGTATTCATTCAACGAAACAATCACATAAAAATGAAACTCTTCGTCGTGGTATGTCAATTGCTGTCCATCCAAGTGAAAGGCCCGCTCCGCCAGTACGTCGTACACCCTCCATGAACACACACCATTTCAATGACAATAGTACAAAAGTTCATATGAAATATATTCAGGAAGTTGTTCAGATCAATCATACAGAAGATTTTCCACCTCCACCGCCTGACTTTCTTCTTTCAAACGATCCGACACCTGTCATCACAGCAACTAACAGTACCGCCACTACTGCGAACGATCCACACTCATCGTTGCTTGCTGAAATACAACGTGGTTTTAAATTACGTAAAACGGTGATTGATCGAGACAGATCCGCTCCGCGTATCAGATGAAATGCAAAGTCAAGCGTACGATATGTTTCTTTTATCTTTCTCAGGAATGAATGATTTTTTGTGCAGATAATCAATGGTATTTCTATTTAATCTTGACCGAACTATTCGATCTAACTTCGATGTTTGTTTTTTCTTTTCTTTGCTGTTGTATATAACTTATATAATCTAGTTTAATCGTGTATTATCCTTTTTTCTCTTGTTGTCGTCTATTCTGTTTTGTTTTTTTTCTTCTTCTTTTTTTTCCAAAGACAAACATCATATTCGTATCATCATTTAGTTCGACTTTCTATAAATGAGAAAAACATGCAGCTGTTCGAAGGTGTGTGGGAAGCAAAAGATAGAGAGAGAGAGAGAGATAAATGAAATATTAAATCGGTATTTTCTTTTTACAAAAAGATTCCAGTTCTTCGAGAATGAAGTGTTCCGGTAATGCATAGTGATTCGATTGTTCGTATATAATCTTATTTTCTACTGAGTAGTTATCTATTCATCATTGATTATCGCTGCCGCACTCTTTGCTGGTTCAACAGTTCAAGGTGATTCGTCCTATTCGGCCAGATATTTGCCTAAAAAGGTTTCGACTATGAATTTTTATTATCGATAGAGTTCTATGAAAAAATTGAATTCATTCGATAGGAGGGAATGTGATTGATGTTGTTCTTCTTCTTTTTGTTAGGAAAACGAAGTTGAAGGTCGTATAGAACCTGTAACAACCAGTCTTGTAAGTAGATGATCAATAGCTACGCAATAATCATTCGATGATTTGATGTGTTAAGATTGTCAGCGCTCTCGCTCCTGTCGTTCTCAATGTCTTTACTGGTCTTTTGGGTAACTTATTCAGTAAACCAAATGATATTGAAGAAGTTTGTTTCGAAAACGATTCGAAGAAACGATGTCTACTTCTCCTATTTGTGTTTACAGCGTGTCATCTATGGTCGACCAATGCAAGTGAAATTATGTGGTGTTGATAATTGTATCCAATTATTAGATAAAGGTTCAGGTTTAACAACTGTTGGCAAAGGTGATACTGTTCAACATGCATTAGGTGATGCTGTCGGTGCTATGTTAACAACTTTATTAGAAAAACGCTTGTTAAGTATGCATGATTTATGCCGCGAACATATTCATTTTCCTCATCCTGATACTCAAAACTGTCCCGGTGTCGAAATCAATACTTGTGAATTGAGCAAACCTGTCGTTCCTGCTCGTAAGCTTTCGAAACAGAGAGATCGAATGTGTTTCTTTATTTGAAATCAATTTCTGACTGTTTTAGCACCATGTGTCGATTCTCATGGTGCAGCTTACTGTAAAAAGATGCAAAGTCACTGCACGGAAAGTATGTATTCAACATTCATGATGCACAATTGCTACAAGACATGCACGTATGTGTACCAAGAAGACAATATCTTTGATTCAGACAACTAGATGTTTCTTTTTTTTTCTAGCAACAATTGCTATAAAGCACCACCTGGCCCATGCGATTACGCAAAATGAAAGAAAAGATCCATGTTTTTCTTTATTTATCTCGGGAGAAATAAAGAAATAATCATTGCTGAAAATTGAGATAAAGAGTTAGTTTTGACGAATCTTCGGCTCAAATAACAGATGTTTTACGCTTGACTTCCGTTAATTCCTCGTGTGCTTCATCCTGCTCATCATCACACGCCCAAGGTTCCGTTTCTCCACGAGCTAAGAAAATAAATGCAATAGCTGATATAAGAAATGATGCAGCATAGAGCATAAATGCTACTCTCCATTCTAGTGCTGTTTTCTAAACAACGAAACACACATATCGACATTGTACTGTTAAACACTACATACATGTTTTGTAATGATACTTGTTAAATACGGTGCACCGAATCCTCCGATACTTGCTAAAAGAAAAGTGTTGAAATCGGATGTTTTCAGTGAAGTATAAGCCTTACAAATCGTGTTGCAAATACCAAACACGACGCCTGAATGAACGCCACTAAAATCTCCAACATTAACAATATATCCGCCAGACATCATAAAACCACTAGGAAATGACACAAATATGTGCTATGAATCTCTTTCTCTGTCTTTACTTGAATGCTATTCCGATAATAAGTAAAGCCACTGCCAAATATCGACGTTGACAATCAAGGAAAGATATTGACAGAAGACAAATAGCTGGTGCGAAAGTGCCAATCCCATGAAATAATTTTCGAGCATTGATACGTTTGACGTAGTTTTTGCCAATGATAAAATCTGCTAGGCCACCGCTTAACATGACAACAAGGAAACTAGCCATATGTGGTAATGCGGAAAGAAACCCGTTCGCTTCGATGCTGAATAACAGAACTTCACTCATGTATTCGGGAACAACGGTCCAAACGGCTAAACAAAGAATGCGATGGTCATTTCGAGAGAAAGGAAAAAAAAGCATTTCTCTCACCATAAAGACCAAAATCGCTGAAACACATGGAAATAAGAATACACCAGAAACCTTGAGATCGAAGCATTGCACTCCATGGTATTTTCTATACATTCGAAAAGGAAATATCGCTTTTAGAGAAGGAACCGTTCATACGGTATTGACATCTTGAATCTTTTCTTCTGCTTTGCATGCTCGAATGTATTCTTTTTCATCCAATGTTATATGACGATTTGTTGCTGGTGTATCACTGGCAAAAATAAGCCAGACAATCGACCAGACGATGCCGAGACCACCTAAACACTTCGGTCAGTGGAAAGATGACAAGAAATCAGTTCTCCATACCAAGAAGATAGAAGAAGTATGCCCAACCATGTCGAAAAATGAAAGGAATCGCATCATTTAATGAAAATGTGCAGAAGAGACCGCCAATAATCAAAGAAATGATAGTGCCCATCGAGGGCCCTAGAGAACGGTTATATAACGATAATTTCAACTAGACTTAAGAGTCATACCGGAACTCTGAAATGAAAGCAAAGTTGTTCGTTCTGATGCTGGTGCCCATGTTGACCAAAAGCGAAAGATTGTGGGCCACAGACCACCCTTCAAATACAGAGAATTCAAGTCGATGATTTCACTTCAATCCACTCGTTTTATACCTGTGCAGCGCCGGCAACGATACGCAAAGCTATCACTAACGATGGATGCAGTTTTGAAAAAATTGGTAAAAGTATTGTTGCCATTGATGAAGCAAAGATTAACAAGGCAAGAAAACGTTTCGGACCCAAGAGATTCACAGCTACTGACGATGCGACTTGAGTCAACGCATAGCCCCAATAGAACGAACCAAGAAGGAAACCACGAGTGGATTTTGGCCATAAGAGAACTTGACCAGGCTATAGTAAAAACATACAAATATTTTCACATACAATTTCAAATTTATCTCTACCAATTGACTTTTTTCTGCAGTATGTTGATGGCACGATGCTGGAATATTTCGATGATTGGCCAAAGAATTATTATTGTATGTTGCTGGATCATTATCTACGCTAGGATTGACCATGCAAATAATCCCGACACTAAAGAAAATTCGTAAGAAGAGATCGTTAAGACGCAAAATTATCCTTACGAAAGACCATTGCGTTGAGCATAACATAGAAAGAAGCCCAAAAATGCCAGAAAAGCAAGTAATAAACGATGTGAACACATAAGTGGAGCTAAGAACACGAATAGAAGACATTAAATCTATCCCAATACTCAAAATATGCGTACTTTTCAATTGAGTTGTTTTGTTGCTTGTAGTCATCGTTGTAATTAGTCTACGAGAAAAGAAGAATTCACGACATAAAAGATAATACTTTGGTACTGCCAGATGATGCAATGACAAAATAACATGGCATCCGTTCGTTGCATCAGATGGGTAGGAGGAAACAGGAAATTTCATAGGAACTCATGCCGTTGCTCTCGACTTTCTCTTAGACAATACAAATTCTACTCACATTCCTTGCTTCGTCTTTGGATATGTTCGATTCCAAGTAAATGTATCGGATCCATGCCTTAATTTATAGCACATTTCGTTTGTGCAACATTCCTCCTTGTGTAGAATCTATTCTAGTCGTGAGTGAATGTTGAGCATTCAACAATCGAAAGACCAGAAACCAGCAACCAAGTATAAATGCGATGACGATTTATGTATTATGCATTACTTTTGGCGCAACTGTTTTCTATCATTAGTACAGATATGACCTTTGGTACTTGTATGGTGTTAGAATAAACGTTTCTATTTCCAAATTCCGTTTACATTCTTGAATTGAATCGAAAGATAAACACGTAACTGGGAAATTTACTGGCGCTCAAATTTATTTTTGAGTATCAGTACAGCATTGACGTCGTTCGATGCGAAATTTCTCTTTTCTGAACAATAATGAATGACAGATCAGTTGAAGACAAAATTTTTTAAAATAATGTTTTCGATGAGTTTATCGATAGACACATCCAATTACTAAGATATGTGGTTTTCATTCACGAAGCATTAATGAAGACTATCTTCGATTGTATGCTCATTGAAAAGATGTTTGTCATTGATTTCTTCAAGTATTTTATGAATGCTATCACTTGATTCCATACAGATATTATCTGTTAACATATTCATTGAAGAGAATGTCGACCGAATGAGAAGTTTGGTGAATTTCATTGTGCAAGAATAAGATACCTTTTCACAAAAGGGCAAATTAGTGGCGTCACTTTGGTGTTCTGTTCTGAAGAATGGGAACGCTGCAAAATATACTACTATCTGGTTGTTTATCGGTAACGAAAAGAATGAAGAACAACTTTTCTTATTGAAAAGATTGAAAAATCTATTACGTACATATGTAGCTCGCCCAGTAATTAAATATATCATTCATTAATAATTCTCCTGTATGTTGAAGAATTACAAGTTGTGTTTAGTACTCGAACAATCATTACTTTCGTTGGGAACTATTGAACGACAACTTTTGCGGTTGGAATCGGTACAAGCCGAAAGAAAATCGTATCTACTGGATCCATGCTTGTGTTTTTCTGAGTTTCACCTGTTGTCCAAGATTTCTTTGATCGATCAATGATTGCATGCGCTTTCGCCATATCAGATTGATTCTCTCCAGTTTGAATTGCAATTGAAACATGCTCAGGTAGAAAGATCGATCCAGTAGATATTGCTTCCGCTGGTCCATACGGTGGAAATCGAGGGTGTGGGTGATGGAGTCTCTTGCACTTCTCAAAACTCGAAGTGGAGTGGTTTATATAAAAGTTTAGAAGTCGAAGAAGATGTTTAATACTCGAATTGAGTTAACGATTTGTACATTATTCGCAGAAGAAGTACAAATGTATTTGTACGACATTCGCTAGTGAACAATTGAAAAGATTCGAAGCAGAATCTGAAAAACAACGGTGTATAGTCGGCAATGAATGACCTTATTTAGCGAAGAAACTCGATCTAGGTGAAGCGCAAATCAAGATAAACGTAATCTCCACATTTTTCTTTACGTAAATTTTCTTTTTAGCTTCAACAAGATTTTGTTTCAAAATCAAAGTATTAAATGACGTCATCAAGCAATTGATAATCATCAACAACGATAAACTAATTTCCACTCTATTGACTTTTTGGCATGAGTAAAACTAATAAGTAAGGAACTGCGATTCCTACTGGTTCTCAGCTAAACCATAGCACTGTGTTTCACACTAGAATTAATACAAGGCAAATATTCCCTTTTTTTTTCATAAGTCGAATCAATTATCCATTTGTCAGGAAGTAGTTTTCAAAGACCAGCTGTGTTTACTAAAAACTCCATCGCTGAATGATCACTCGTTCGTCGGCCACTCACGGTTACCCATTGACCACTTTCGAATACTAAACATACTCGCATCGTAGAAAACCAAGACATGTCAATCTAGTTTACTTTATGTAATACCTAGAGAGTATAATTAGTCATCAATATCGATTAACCGTCTATTTATTTCGCTCGTTATTCAGGTTTCAGTGTTCGAAATGTCGAACAGAGGTGGGTATTTGCGACGTTTTCATATGTGACCAAAACGTTTTATTATAAAAAAGAAGCTATCTATGAAGAACGGTCGTTCGTTTATTTTTGAGCCATTGCATGGTGAGCCGATAATCGACTGCAACAGTACATATGTTACTGAAAGACTACGATTATTCTGCACGAACAAAATCAACAATAATTCTATATGTATACGTATGTGCATGTATTCATTGCCCATCTAGGAATAGGTCGATCGAATTATCATTACTACCGAATACTTCTTGAGATTGTTCTAGGAGAAGATAATCGGACTTGTCGGTGTTGTTTTGATTTTCAGTTTGATGACGTTGTTTATGATGAGCATACAGTTGATTTTGATGCAGAAAACCTTTCCGACATAATTCACAACTATTGGCAAATCAAGAGAAATTTGTTTTGTGCGAAGAAAAGAAGGTCTGAGAATGATTCAGTTCCTTACCGAAACGGATACTGATGTGAATGTCGCACAATATCATGATCACGTAAATGTTCCGGTCGTACGAATGTTTTCACACATGCATGGCATTGAAACAAGCCGCCTGTTGCGCTGTGTTTCGCTGCATGTTGCTTTAGTTTATCCTTCCTAGAGCAAAACGCTTATTTCTTGATATCGATTTCAGTCTCCTTCTTACCGCGCAAATGCTTGTTCACAGCCGTCCTGTTCACATTTATATGGTTTGATATCTGAATGTTTCGTGACGTTGTGTCGATTTAGATGAAACGTTGTTTTAAAAGTTAATTTGCACGCCGAGCAACTTTTCTGATTCGGTATATCAGCATTATGTTCAGTCATCACATGTCGAGAAAGATCGTTACGCTTTTGAAACGTTTCAATGCATATCGTACAACGATAGGGTGCGAGATCCGAATGTTTAGCAACATGATTATGATACGAATTATTCGATTCGAATTCGGCTGGACATAGTTGACAAAGAAATTTGTGCGTTTCGTAATGCATATGATACTGCAATAGCTCGGATGTTTGAAATGCTTGTTTGCATAATCGGCAGCGGTAGGTACGCTTGCGACGACGATGATAAGCGTTACTACGAGACGAACGTCGTGAGATAACATGACGTTTTTGACTATGAATACGCGCGTGAAGGATGTAGTCGACAGGCTTATCAAATAATTGCGCGCATGCATCATTTAAACAACGAAAAACAGGGTTGAGACAATGAACTAAAACGAAAGTAAATTAGAATGTACCTATATGATTATCCACTTCAAACAAGGTAAATCTTATCATGTGAAATGAAAGTACATCACCTCATCGGTCCAGAGACAACGGCTTGCTAAGATAAGGAAAATATCTAGAACCTTTCTACGTTTGTTTGATCAGTCATTCATCGAAAATCTGCATCAAGAAAAAAGTCACTACGGTCTTCTTACTCATTTTCTTGTGAATATTCAATGATGCATTGGAAGCAAATGTAACAGTACACTGTTTACATTCTAAAGGTTGTACTGCGTGTTCGTCGAGCAAATCAGTGTAACTCGACGACGAATCGTCGAGAGATGATGAGATACCTTTGGAATTGAGATTTTCATTGTCATCAATCCAGGTTGAATGTTCAAAAACATGATTCTCTAATACAACTGGTGCATCGAATTGTTCGTCACAAACTGGACATTCGAGAAGACTCATTTGTGATAGCGAATTTTCTATCGAGCAGTATTCAGTTGGAGCCGAGACGAGAGGATTAAGAGTAGATTCCGTGTCCGTTGGTGTTTGTTCGACAGGTTGAGAAAATAGAAGGTCAAACTCGTTTGTGGAAGGAATTTCGTGTTGCATCGTTGGATAAAACAGATTTGAGTTGGACGGAATCGATAATGAAACATCTTCAATAATTGCATCGAGTTCACGTTCAAGTAAATTTGTTGGTGGATTATTCGGTAGTTGAAACAGATTCGCTGATTGTTGACCAATACATGTCGATCGATGCGTCAAAAACAAATTCAAATCTGTGAAATTCATACGACATTTTCCACATATAAACAGATCCTCTGCATTAGTCGTAGCTACAAAGTCGTCAATATTATTGTATCCCATCAAATTAAAACCTTTAACTTACTCATTGTCTATTGATGAGTTGAAGGTAGTACGATGATGGGTATAGAACGAAAAGCAATAAAATCGTTTCCTTTTATCAGGTATACTAATCTTATAAGCATTCGACACATAACATGCTCACCTCACCTATGTTACTCAAAATAAATAGGTTCTACCAATCATATTCACGGACGATAGATGATGATGGTAGTCATTCGTACAATCATCGTAGTGATCAGAACGACATCATAGATTCTTCTCGAATGCGTGTCCGTAAACGAAAAAAACTTCATTTTTCATGTTTACATATTTTTTCTCTTTTGAAATCTTTTGTACGCACATATACACGCACAATTAAAAGAAAAACGAGAGCACATGAACAAACAAACAAGGAGATACACTGATACATAGGAAAACTCTTAGAAATCAAGCGAGAAAAGAAAAATTCTTAATCAAACGTTGTTCCTATGTCTTCCGGTGGATTCGTCGTCGTTAGGAATGGTATCTCTTCTGATATAGTTGTCGAATTTTCTATTCCATTCGTTGGTGCTTCTTCTTGGACAATGTCAACGGGTTTGATATCTTCTTTTTTCATAAAGATTGTTTCAACAAGATTGACGAACGACATCGAAGAAAGATATGTCGACTGTGTGGAATTATCCAGTAGTGTGGAATATTCGTCTTTTGCATCATCATTATCAGTTTTTACAGTCATTGTCGAATCAGTAGTCGGTGTATCGGATAAAAGGTTACTAGTTCCATCCAAGATCACATTCGATGGTACGGACGAAGCATCACCAACTGACAAATCAGACGTTGTCGCATTTTCATTCATCGCCTAATAAGTAGATCAATTGAAGATGAAGTTTTCAACGATTCCATTAAGTTCTTACTTCATACTGAACATCTTGAAAACAGATTGGATGGTAGGTTTTTCCATCTATTCGCAGGGCATCTTTC